TCATTCAGGAGGTTACAGTTTTGCAGTGAGAGCGAAGACGAAGCGAACCACATCTCTTTCCGAAGACTCCCTCAATACCTCTTTCCATTTTTTCTATACTTTCTGCTAAGGGGGCAAAATATCAGTGGGACCTCGATCTACTCAGCTTGTGAACGCACGCAGAATACGTTTGTTTGATTTGCGAATTCGGGTTCCATGTCACTTCCGCCCATGAACCCAGTTACCAGTAGAAAATTATAAGAAATGGACACGAAATCTCGAAACGTGACCCTGAGGGAAAAGTTCAAGAACAAAATGGCTTGCTTTTTCGCTGGTCTACTTTTTCATTTGCCATATGCTTTTCTGTCATCACTGTGGTACAGTAGAGCTCCACATTTTCATTGTGTTGAAGCCGTCGAGAACAGCTCAACAATAAGCATGAGCAGATAATCGAGGTCATCCCACAGGTGAGTTCGGGAAGGTGCGATGTGACTTACTCACCTACACGCTACAGTACACTCCTAATTGCTTTACCGTACTTAGTCCCAATCTACATACACACATCCCTTACAAGGTATTGAACCCAGGAATTCCAAAGAGAGTAGAAGAGCATGAAGTGCAAAAGTCAATGATATCATAATCTGTTTTGAAGTAGAAGCATGGATATCTGACTTACGCACTTTTCGGAACTTTCTGCGATTTCGAGAAAGAAGTTGTCCAGTCGCTGGCGATACTCTTGCGGAGATTCGGTACTTGGGAGTTCGTCAAGGATCGGGTTATATCCCTCGTCAATGGGATAGCCAAGATTTCTTAGCTAAAATACCAAATTTCCATAGCGTTGTCTGACACAATAATAAAATTGGATGCTATTAGAGCGTATTGTACATATGTCTGTTGATCTTTAGTTCTTTTTGCCCTTCTTTGTTGAATTTGTTGCTCTTAGAGACAACCAGCGGTTTCGTCTTGACCAAACCTCGCAAACCCTCATCATAGTGGGAATACCACCTTCAAAATATGTAGCTGGGGTCAAGTGTGTGCGATAGAAAAGGGTTACCTGATCCGTGGTGAGCCAGTGATTACTGGACCCGTCAGGAATAAGCTGCTTCCAATCGGCTAAAGCTGGTTCGATACAGATCGATACGGATGGTATTTTGAGTGTCCGTGCTATGGCAGCCGCAGTCTGTACGCATCGCAATTCGGGTGACGAGAATATCTGTAAACACTGGAACATAACTGAATTAAAATTTACACAATGGTCGCAAAACTCAGGGACGCGATAGATGAAGTATCATAATTTATTGACAGCTCTGTGGACCTTTCAACGATTCCTGTCACTTTTTTCTGTACACACCAGTTTATGTACAGTAACGCTCGAAAGTCTTCGACGGAACATTTTTATTTTCTCTAAGCGACTGAATTGTACAAAGTTTTGGTATGTTCTGCGGTAACACATTAAAGCATTCCACAATAGCTGACTAAAAAGCAAGTGGATTTATAATATTACGGTACACATTAAACAGTCCACAATAGCTGGCTTAAAAGAAATGGATCATAATAGTACATAAAAAAAAAATTATTGTGATGCTATAATTTCAACCTAAGATTAATGGCTTGGACTACCTTGTAATCCATTCTAATCCTATAATCCATCTAATCTTGATCTCTAATATGACTATCTCTGTTCTGTATGCAAGCAGAGAAACTCACGGTTATGCTGGATCGTAACCGGCTAGTCTGATACCCCTTCCTACACGTTCCGCAACGGAATAGCCGAATTGCGTCAGTGGAGGATCAAATCGAAAGTGTTCCATAGGACGACTAAAAGTGCGCTTTGACTAGCTGCCTGAGCCATGGACTGAACTGTGATGTCATCCTATACTACCACACGGGTTTTACTGACAACCGTGAAGAGACACTTCTATCAGAGCTCCATTACTAGAACTCGATGTGTCATTGCAGTAACTGAAAATCTTAAAAATCATGAATTCCTCAACACTCCCAACATATGGGAAACAGTGAACGTTGATCAACGAGACTGGAAGCAAGAAACCAGGGTGTATCAAAGGCAAGTTTCGCAAAGTCATTTCCTTTCGTTTACGGGGCCCAAAACGCGCTTCTATCGTTTCCTGCACATGGCGAGTTCGGAGTTCAGTGAATATAGATTAGAGTAATGCAGGCTTTAGCCAGGATTGTAAGCTGTATCTTACCACAAGTGATGTGGAACAAGAAATTTAAAGAAGGCCCTGATATGGTATCAAAAAGAAGCTGGTAAAAGTCACAAAGTAATCACCGTTACCTCGTAGTAAACCACCCTTAGCTCGCATCAGTACCATCTATCAACAATAGAATGGCAGTCGAGAGTCTTCGACGCGAAGAATAAGTGGCCGTCTGTTTCTGGGTGTTCGCGATCAGGTTGTTTTTCACCTTCAGGAATCGAACATGCATTCAAACAACTCTGACGGTAATAAACCACCCTTAACTCGAATCAGAGGTGGGTAATTAAAGAACGAATTTCACGATGGGAAGGCAACCCATGTGTGTGGGTGATGTCCGTTCCTCCAAGTGGTGCCACTGGAAACTGCTCACTTTTGTGAGCTGAGCCGACCACGGACATTCGAATGCAGGCGACAGGCCCCCGTGACAGGCCGGCCTACGAACACCCACGTCACATCACAATGTCAATGTCGCTACAAGTATCTCGAGATAATGCTACGGCGTCCGCGGGAGCCGACGCGCACTCGCAAAGCCCGGCGAGTGTGAAAAGTATGCGAGGGTCTCCGGTGCAAGGACGGCATCGGGGGGCAACTAGGCTAGTCCAAAAGTCCCGCAACGTATGGAAGACTCGCGTTGCGACGTTAAATGTTGGCACGTTAACGGGACGCTCGCACGAGTTAGCAGAAGCTCTGGAGCGCCGAAGAATTGATTTCTGTGCCGTGCAGGAAACGAGGTGGTCCTGCTGCAAGTCGAGGGACATTGGCCGCGGCTTCAAAGCCGTTCTCTGTGGCGGTCCCAGAACCACCAATGGCGTCGGGATGATTGTCTCTGAACGCTTTCGTGATTCGATAGTAAGTGTGGAGCGCTTCGACGACCGTTTAATGAAGATCGTTGTCGTCATGGAACATCAAAAATACCATTTCTTCTCTGCGTACGCTCCGCAGACTGGATGCTCCGAGCAAAACAAGGACAAGTTCTGGAACCTGCTTGATGAGAAGACAGCTGAGGTACCGTCACAAGAAGCCATAATTGTTGCCGGTGACCTCAATGGCCACGTGGGCGCTACGAAAGACGGTTATAGCTGTCATGGTGGTTTTGGTTATGGGTCACGTAATACTGATGGCGAACGAATTCTTGAATATGCAGACTCGCATAATCTCGCCATAGTAAACACGAAATTTCGAAAACGTGACTCACATCTTATCACATTCTATAGCGGTAAAACCAGAACACAAATCGATTTCGTCCTTGTTAGGCACCGTGATCAAGGGCTCGTAACGGACGCAAAAGTAGTACCTTATGAAACGGTCGTCACACAACACCGACCATTGATTTGTACGCTAAAAATCGCCCCACCGAGACCGAAACTAGCCGAAAGATGTGGGCCAGCGAGAATCAAGTGGTGGCGACTGAAGGAGAAAGAAGCGGCCGTCGTTTCCCGCATTCGATTACCAGCGGTAACGACTGTCGACGAAACTTGGAAAGGTGCTGCCGAAGCGATCACCCAGGTTGCGCGATCCGAGCTCGGCATGACGAAGCCTGGACGGAGAAAGGTTGATAAGCAAACATGGCTGTGGACGGATCAAGTTAGAGAGAAAGTAAGAGAGAAGAAAAAGCGCTACCACGCTTTTCTTTCGGAGAAGACAGCCGGTTGCTGGCAGCGCTATCAGATAGCGAAGAAAGAGGCAAAGAAGGCCGTTGCTTCTGCGAAAGCAGCTCATTTTGCCGATCTCAATGAGAAACTCGAGTCGCGCGATGGTGAACGGTACATTTACCGACTCGCAAAGACCCGCTATCGCCAGACCGAGGATATAGAAAAGTTCTTCGGCATAAATGATGCGAATGGTCACCTTCTGACGGACCGCGAGAAAGCATTGAAGCGATGGTGTGAATACTTCGAGAACATCTCAACAGTCGAATTTGCTCATCCCGCCATCCCTTGCGCTCCGCCAGTACACGGCCCCGTTCAGAAGATAACCATGGAGGAGACCATTACGGCCATGAAGAAGATGAAATCAGGCAAAGCAACTGGTCCTGACGACTTAGCGGCGGACTTGTGGAAATCAAAGTGCTGGAATCCTGCAGAATGGTTGACGGAGTTCTTCAACCAGGTCGTTGCAGAGAAGAAGGTGCCTGAGAGCTGGCAACAGAGCACGACGATTCCAATCTGGAAGAAAAAGGCAGTCCTGCGGACTGCACTAGCTACCGTCCAATTCGCCTGCTCTCGCATAGCATGAAAATCTTTGAGCGAATTGTAGACAGTCGTATCCGTGACGTCGTCGAGCTGACCACCAACCAGTGTGGTTTTGTTGCTGGTTGCAGCACCATCGATGCCATACACGCCGCTCGCCTTCTGCTAGAAAAGCATCGCGAAAAACAAAAAGCCGATACATCTTGCCTTTCTAGACTTGGAGAAGGCTTTCGATCGCGTTCCACGTGACGTTATATGGTATGCTTTACGACAGCATGGCGTTCCCGAAGAGCTTATTGAGTGGGTGCGCATCCTGTACTCGAGTCCAAAGAGCCGAGTGCAAACGGCCGCGGGCACATCGACGGATTTTCCCATCTCTGTCGGAGTACACCAAGGCTCTGCGTTATCCCCACTGCTATTTGTTGTCGTCATGGATGCCATTACAAAAGATCTCCAGAAGCCGGTACCATGGACGCTTCTTTATGCTGATGACGTGATGCTCGCTAGCGAAGATAAAAGCACGCTTGAGCAACAGGTGCAAACCTGGTCCGACCGTCTAGCTATGTTCGGACTCAGGTTGAATGTCAAAAAGACAGAGTACTTGACCACCGATCCGAGTGAGCCAGGCTCTATTAAGATCAATGGTACTGAGCTCACACGTACAACAACATTCAAGTATCTTGGATCAGCAATTGCGTCTGACGGCAGCCTGGTCGTGGAAACGAATTCTCGCGTGAATGCAGCCTGGTTGAAATGGCGCTCGATGACTGGCGTTCTCTGCGATAAGAATATACCTGAGCGTCTCAAATCCAAGATCTATAGAACCGTCATCCGGCCGGTCGCCATTTACGGTGCTGAGTGCTGGCCTGCGACCAAAGAAGTTGAAGCCCGTCTCGGTGTGATGGAGACAAAGATGCTCCGCTGGACAGCCGGAGTCACACGATTAGATCGCATTCGTAATGATGTCATCAGGGAGCGATTCGGTGTAGCTCCGATTGTTGATAAAATGCGCGAAGCCCGTCTCCGATGGTATGGACATGTTCTTCGCGCGAATGAGGACAGTGTCCGTAAGATCGGTCTCAACCTTGACGTGCGCGGAAAGCGGCCTAGAGGACGCCCGAAGCAGCGATGGCTCGACACGTTGCACGAAGACTTGAAGAGCGTTAACATCCACCCCGATCAAGCATTCAATCGGGAGAAGTGGCGTCAACACATCAGAAAAGCGGACCCCGCCTACAAGCGGGACAGACGCTAAAGAATAAGAAGAAGAAGAAGAAGAAGGAACCCATTTCAAATCAAGTAAGGGCGATGGCAGCATGCACTGAAAGAAGGAAAAACCATGCGAAACAGCCCAGAACCTGAGAAATGGGACCACTTCCTTGCCCGTTGATTTGAGCATTGATGCGACTATCATCGCTGTGCCCTCTTCAACACTACGCTCTCTCACCTATCTAATCACTCACCACGTATAGACCTGCGGCGAGTGATCAGATGATCGGTGGGCGTGCACTGACCCACTGAATCCTTCGGTGCCAGTTGCGCTTTGTATCAGCACCTTACGGAGAGTCCTACCTGCTACCCCCACTAGGCCAGTCCCCCGGTTCAGGACAACTGTCAATCGTGAGCCTTAGCGCAGCGTTTTGTAGTGATGTCTGGGAGCTCTCACAAGTACACACTGTCACAGCATCTCCTCTTTCTTCATCTTCAAAGGCCTGAGGCTTAGTCCCAAGTAAGACACAAAGTGTATGCTTTTCCAGCTACGCTCTCACACTTTGGTTGACAGAAGCATTGTGAGCATCCCCCCTTCTTCAACCTTCAAGGGACTTATCGCTGAATTCGCCCACTGAAGAGCCCCATTATGGAAGTAGAACCAGCGCAACTGCGAATTTATGTATTGGAATCGCCGAGCTTCCTTACATTGTGCCAAAACAAAACATTGTATGTAAAAAGTTGCTAGGTGACGATGGGACTTACAATTAGCTCGGGAGAAAGGAGAAACGCCAGGGAGAGCAAAAGTTGCCCGCATCCTCCCGCGAATCGGGCTTCCCTCCCTAATGTTTAATCCCAAGTACTGTAGGTGCCTCACTCACTCCAGTGTCCTCCTTAACGACATGGGAGTTTGATTGGGCCTTGTAATACTCACTCTGGAATAGTGGAGGGCATGTTCAGATCGAACGGTTGGTAAATGCGTCCTCTATAAGCGAGCCGTAGCCATTGCGGAAACACTTCAGCTACAGTCTCCCCGTGACGTACTGAAATTAAATCTCCAAGGCCTCATTTGAGAATATTACCAAGATTGCAGAATCTCACCTATGATCAACGTAGTTGTGGCATTGATTTCGTCATCCTTCGTGATGTTTGTCTGGATTCAGGAAACTGAACAGTGTGAAGATTTGATTTCCTCTC